TATATATATATATATATATATATATATATATATATATATATATATATATATGTATGTATGTATGTATAATCGATTGTATTATATTAACATAATACAATCAACTGATAATAATAATAATAAAGTATATTAATATATTTAATACTATTGTGTTGTTGGTGTATAATTATATTAATAAATAGCTTGAATTGTTTAAAATATAATTCTGAGGTTTTGTTGTCTTGACGAGAAGGCCGCTGCTGCTGCTGCTGCTGCTGCTGCTGCTGCTGGCGGTGACCACTGGTCTGGTCTTGTGCTTCTTACACTTCAGGGGCTGGCTAGGCTCAAGCTCTGCGGTTTTTTTTAATTAAATTGCTTAATAATAATTAAAACAATTGAAATGAATTTATATTTTATACAAAAAAACAAAAAAGCAAATAAAAGCTGGCTGTATACAGACTGCACCGAGAAGGGGGGCCCTGTGTGTGGAGTGTATAGGCAGGTCCCCTCTTGCGGTGTATCGGCACCTAGTGTATTTTTCTGTTAGCATTTAATTTTATAATTTTATATTTTCTGTTTTATTATAAATATTAGATCATTTGGTCTTTATTTTACGGCGTTTGTTGCCGCTTTTATCCTGTAAGCAGGGCCCCCACCACAGCTGTCTGTACACCTGAGAAGGAGTATAGTATAGCATCGACGCTTCTGCAGCAACGAACTCGATTTCTTTTCTTTTCCTTTTGGATAAGTACAAGTGAGGGGCTGTGGGTAGCTCTACAGGCCAGGGGCGGAAAGAGAGCTGAGCCCCTATAGAGACAAGCACACACCTAAACCCAACTGCAACATAAACAGATTATATTAATAGAGGTTTTATACTGTTCTTTTATCAACATACAGACAGAGATATAAAGTTTTCATATTATTAAAGGGGTTTTATTATATTACATCAACAAATAACACACTCTGTTGCTGCTACTTGTGTTTATTTTTTTTTTTTTTTTTTTTTTTTTTTTTTTTATCTTACAATGCGGAGGGGAGAAGGCAGTGAGGGGCCCAAGGCCACAAAGACAGCCGAAGGTACCCACCACCAAAAGAAAGAGAAAGAAGAGAAAAGAGAAAAGATAGAGAAACGTCAGGACAGAGAAGATGAGAGGAGGGCGGAGAGAGAAGAGGATAGAGAAGAGAAGAGGGAAGAGAGAGAAAAGAAGAAAAAAGAAAGTCAAAAAGAAGAGAGAGAAGAGAAAAAAGCAGAGAAAGAAGAGAGGAGACAAGAAAGAAAAGAAAAAGAAGAGAAAGAAGAAAAAGAAGAGAGAGAAGAGACAGAACAGAAAGAAAAAGAAGAGAAAGAGAAACAAGAAGAGAGAGAGAAAAAAGAAGAAAAAAAAGAAGAGAAAATGCACAAGAAAGAAGAAGAAAAAGAAGAGAAAAAAGAAAAAGAAAGAGAGAAAAAAGAAAAAAAAGAAAAGAAAAAAAAAGATAAAGAAATAAAAGAAAAAAGAAAAGAAAAAGAAAAAGATGAAAAAGAGACAGAAACAGCAAACCCACCCCCACAAGAACCCCCCCCGCCGCGTCGCAGCAGCACAACCAGCAGCAGCAACAACCCCACCCCCACCCCCAGCAGCAGCAGCAGCAGCAGACGCAGCTCAGGGTTGGAAAGAGAGGATAGAGAAGAAGCTGGTGCTGCTGCTGCTGCTGCTGGTGGTGGTTCTGTCTCTTTGTTAGAGACAGCAGCAGAAGATATGAAGCTGAGCACCGAAATAATAAAAGAAGCAACAAAGGAGACAGCTATAGATGCAGCAGCAGCAATAAAGGAGACAGCAAAGGAGACAGTTGAATGGCTGAAGCAAATGAGTAAGGATGCAGGAGAGATTATGGGGATGTCTTGGGAAGCAGCAAAAGATGCAGCAGCAGATGCTGCTGCTGCTGCTGCTGCAAAAGAAAAAGAAACCAGAGCTGCTGCTGCAGACTATATACACCCCAGTTAATCACTCACAAACACACCAACTGCTCCTGCTGTTGCTGCAGTTGCTGCTGCTGCTGCAGTAGCAGCAGCAGCAGCAACTGAGGCAGGCAGGTAACACAGGATACACAAGAAGATGCATCTGCTGCTGCAGCACAGATATACGCAGA